GCCAAGCTCAGGGTTTCTATAATCTTCCCCCCTAAATCAAAACACCAATAATTTTAATTTTCAACTGGGCCCACCTCTGTTTCTGGAATAAATACAGCTATAAAACAACACAAGCACTTCCAGAGACATAAACATGAAACTGCTTTTACTGTCAGGACTTCACTTGACAATAGCCAAACATTCCTTAACTCCGAGCCAACTAATAAGCTAAAATTCAAAGCATTCACGGGGGACTCAAGGTTTCACAAGACATTTTTTTCCACTTGTAAAAACGAAGGGACCAAATGGAATCGTATCTAATGATTTTTTTTGCCATTTTTTTTTTTTTTCCCCAGAAGTGGCACAGAATTACCGCCTGCACAGGGGTGGAGGTTGCACAGAAGTAATTCAAACGAAAAGTTTCACCCAATGAGCTCTACAAAAGTACTTCTTGCTCAGTTCTGAAATGCAGGAGGCAGCAGGAGAAACTAATAATATTTGTGTTACTCTCCTGCATTCGAAACAAGCAGCACTAATGCTCATCTTCCTCACAGCAAGAGCAAGCAAAACAAGTTTCAGGTGTTGCTCAGGGCACTGCCCTGAATCCATCACTCCCCAGTTGCAGGTTGGCACAGCAGGGCCGGGTCAACGTACGGCTCCCGTCACACCAAAAAAAAAAAAACTCCCCTTGAAAAATTCGCACACGTCAGGAAAGTGATTCAGAAAACAGCTGTTCCCCAAAGCCCTGTGGAAAACACAACTTCCAGACTCGTTACTCGGCTTTGGAAGGAGCCTCTCCTGGAAGAAGACACAGCTAATGGAGACCCGGACACTCGTGGCTGCCAGTTAAAGGAAGAAACGGATGAAGCTCCGGCATTGCCCCCACACCTCTGCCACCCTCCTGCAAACAGGTGGGTCCAATTAATTTGCCTATTGACTCCTCAATCATCAAACTTCAGTCATTAAATCACCAAGTGTCCAGGCTAAGTTGTTACAATCGACGACTAAAAAAGTTTCAGCGATTTCATTTAACCCCGTCACTCCGATTCGCAAAGGGGAGCTTTCCTGTGCTCTTCAGGAAAATTCCCTCCTTTCACTCCAGTTGCCACTGCACGAGGCAATACCTTAGAAAAGCTTTTCCAATTGAGTGTTCCCAGACTGATTTTCCAAACTTAGAGTAAGATTCTGCTAAGTGATGTCCTGGTAGGAAGCTTCAGCCTGATCCCTGAGCTAGGCAGGGCATTCCTGTGTGCACACAGAGCCATCCTGGGCAAAAAAAAAACAAATTCCAGGTGTTTACTCACACAACTGGATCTGACCACCTTTACTACACATCCAGGGAAAGGGCAAACTGAACTCTTCCACAACAAAGTTCTCCTTCCTCATTCTACTCAGCAAAAGGGAGAGGTGATAAGAACAAACGGATCATAAATATCTTTAAAAGAGACAGAAGATAAAAACTACAGTTCATTTCAGTGAACACTTTGCATCACCCTTCAGGCCTGCCTGGGATCCATACTAATCAACGGGATCCTCAAAGAAAGCATGGCCAGAAGGTGGCCAAGGTCTCCTAACTTTTATCAACATCTAAGGAAGTCCTGCTGCCACATGAAAACATTCTGGGTTATGCTGTAAGAGCAGCACTTGCTTGGAGAGGTTATTTTGGGAGAACTGTTGAGAACTTCTACCTTGTGACTACTTTGAGGGGCTGTGGTAAAACAAACATTAACAAACTCCATTTAATTCTACCTACTCCAAGTGACCAAACAGCTCAGTTCTGTAGGGCTTTATTTCTCTAAGAAAATGAGAATAGGAACAATATAAAGAATAATTTCCTGTTTTCCAAAGAGGTGGTCTACTGAATGACACAGTAAGGGCCACTGTCAATGAAGAACCAAACTCACAGATCTCAAAGGATACTAAAAAAGCAAAAACAGGACTGAAGTCTGGATGTCTGTACCAAGTTTATCCCACCCTGACTTCCTCCAGCTTTAAAAGACCTACCAGAAACCTTGCAACTTTGGCTTTAAAGACCCCAGTCCTCGTGAATGAGTCCCTCCCTGACAAGGAACACCGCCTTCCTCTGCAATAACCTTATTTACAGGTGAACACGGAATTTACAGATAGAACTATTGTAGTGCAAAGATTATGTGGTGTCAAGTTCATACACAGAGTCACCTTACAACCTAAGGTAGCGGCAAATAGAGTACGTTTGTCTTGCCTAAGCTAAAAAGCAGCCTCAGACACAGCCTGCAAGCAGTGATGGTGAGGTTTGAAGGCTTCTCACGCACAGCTTGTGTGTTTATAAACCTGGCATGCACTGGGCTGTGAAACACTTTCAGGTGGCTGTTTTCAGACCCAGTGGGTTTCTTTTCTGTTTGTGCTTCGGGATTTCTGTAGTGAGAACATCTAATGCTTTCCTGGAATATCACCAGTACCTTTAAAGATCTGCACGTAATTAAATCCAAACTCTCCGTGTCGCTGCCTGACAATAACTGGCTGATTTTGAAAGGAAAACTTGTACTTCACTGCTCAAGAATTTTTGATTAGATTTTAAAATCAGGTAGTGCAGCACACACCAATGCAAAAAAAAAAAAGAAAAAAAGAATCATTTAGTTTTGACTCCTAGCTTTAAGGACACGGGAGAAGGAAAGACCCTTGGCAAAGCCTCAAGAAGCCTTTTCCCTTTGGATTAACCTCTCTGGCCACACGGTGCCTCTGCTGCTCAACAAATACTCCGAGGCTGAGCAAATATTTTCTGCTGGTTAATCACCAGCTGCCATCCATGAACTGCACTGGTGTGAGCCCACATCGATCCGCCCGGGATAAAGGCAGGTCAATATTTGATCATCCTGAAGGGCCCTCGTTAGCTGGGACCGTTCAGTCCTGCAGGAGCAACTCAGACAAACCATCGACTCACACGGTGCTACAAAACACAGAGCCGAGGCTGACAGGCTTCCCAGGCACCCCCACGCAGAGGACAAGGAGTTTGGATCGAATTTCTGTGACACAAATCAGACCCGACACCGTGCGGTGCTCACCACCAACGCCACTCACGGCTTTTGGCAGTCCTAAACTTCTCCTGTCTGCTCCAGCTAGCTCTACCTTTTGGCCTCACGCGTGGTCATCCAAGGTGGACACACGTAAAAATTTATGGAGAGCCTGGCTGATTAGAGAACTGTCACAAAAAGCATTCGATATCTGACTGAAGCTGGAGGACACACAGGCAACAAAGTCAAGTGATTAGGGAGCACAACAGCACTCAAATTTTACACACTAGAGGGCTGCAGCATTTTGGCTGGTTGCATTAGAAGTGATCAGTTCAACCTCAATGGAAGCAACACGTCAGCTGGAATATTCCTCTGTTATCTACATTTGCACTGTATAAACTCTAATTAGTTAACAAAGCCTCAGCACAGGTAAGCACATCATGAAGCCCAGCGGTAACGTAAAACTTTCCACATCACTGGCAAAAAAACCCTGCCACGTTCCAAAGAAATGATTTCATCAGATTTCATTTCCTTCACCGAGTGGAGTCTTCCCCAGACATGTGATTTGCCATCCACTGAAGTGTACAATGTCTGAACGGTCTCAAGTGACAGGTTAAAAACACCGCATTTGTACAGTCCTCCCTGAGGACAAGCAAAGCCCAGCCTCTCACATATTGTTCCTTTCTAAGTGATTAAACATTAGTGTGAGTTTTTTTTAAATTTATTTCTAACGTAGCAGGACTACAAAAGTCACACAAAGAACATGATAAAGAGGCAATACAATGCAATCAAAGCAAGCAGACACTCGAGCTCTGAAAAAGACACTTGACCAACTCTTTTATTTCAAGAGTCCATCTTTGCAACACAAAGGATTTTCCATCAAGTTCAACAGGGGCCACGAGGCCTCAGCGGGTGCAGCAACGATACCCAGCTGGCATGAACACTGCTGGACATAAAGCTTTGCAGTCTCATATAAATATTTACATCTGCCAGTGAGTACTGAACACTCACTGACACCAAAATGCACAGTTTCTAGAGCTGGGTATGCGTGTCCCTCGTTCCACTTCACAGTGCAGCACCAAGCCCTTAACGGTGTTTATAAAGAAGGCTTTCAGCGAGGAGGAAGAATATTATTTTCTATACATATGCATCAGCTGGCTTTCAAAGAGATTTATGCTAGGAAGGCCTCCCTCACCTTCAGATCTAGGTCTAAAATGCGCTGACAAGTGAGTGAGTTGCACTGCGCAGGAAGGAGACACAAGCCGCCGGGAGCAACGCTCTGCACGGGGACACACACAGACAAACGCACACAGAAGCACACGGAAACGAAGACAATCTGCTTCAGAAACCCTACACCCAACCCGGGGTCAGGTTGCAGAGGTTGTTGGGGGTGGGGGGGGTTGGTGGAAGACCCAGTTCTGCCGGGCTCTCCGAGGACCCCTGTGGTTTCCCAGTGGAAGAGCACGGCAGCAGAGAGAGCGATCCCCAAAAAGGGGCCGCTCTCCCGCTTTCCAGCGGTTTCTCTGAGGTTCCCACTTGCCTGCCAGGCTTGAGTGGAAGGCTCCAGAGAATAGAAGAGAGGGATGTAGGTATTCAGTTTAGATCGAGTCCCAGATGCAGTTAGACACGACTGTCAGCTCGATTCTGGGGCGAGGAGACAGACGCTTTGTAACACGCGCTCGCCTCCCCGTGACACAAGATTACAAGACTCAAGACATAAATTACTTTTACCTCAACGTGTGCCAGTGTCCTGCCAGCAAGTTATTCAGCTGCTGAGGATGGAGTTGTAGCATAAAGCAATATATCATGACAAGATACAGATGAGGAAAGAAATACTTCTTCCCCCCTCTTCCTCAGGAAACCCAGAATAAAACCCATTATCTTTAATCCCAGACAACTCACAAATCTCAATTTTCCCCCACAGGCAAAAAGATCACTACATAACTGGGTTTTATTTCCTTTTTTTTCTTTTCCCCCCACCTTTTCGTCTTACATTTGCTAACTCAAAATCCAAAGTCAGAAAAAAATATATATATTTAGTCAGAAGTACGTCAGTTACATTTTATTAACCTACTCCAAGGGAAAAGCTCCAGGGATTCACCATACAAGTATAAAACCCCTTTCAAACACCTCGGGGTTACTATATTAACTTCATCCCAGCAGTCAATCAATGCAGTAAAAAAATTAAAATACTGAAAATGGATGCTCTCTTCCTCTGCCACGTGTCCAGTGATTGCTCCGTTACAGCGTGATGAGGTCCACCAGGTTGCCTTTAGGAGGGGTCATGTTGTCTGGAAAGAAGTTGACTAGCGTGTCAAACAGCTGAGTTCTCTGGGCATACGTGTGGTCAACGTCTGAAAATCCTGGGGAAGGAAGAAACAGGGAAACTGAGTCAGTTCTCACTATTCCAGCTCTCCACTTGGGATCGATGTTAACAGTTTGCTACTCCTGCCTCCACTAACAAGGCTGCCAGCCCTCCACCCCGCTGCTGTGTGCACAGACACACGGAGATCACATCACCCCAAGCCAGCACTACAATCAAAATGCCATAAAAAGTAATAAGCAAATGCCTGTCAAGCTCATTGACAGCCCTGAAGAAATGGGGGAAGAAGGAGTTCTCGGGGGGGGGTAGGGCTGCTCTGATGTCCCAGAAAACAAAAATCTGCGTAGCTATTTTTATTTGGTGCCTCGTTTCTTCTCTCCTCGGGCCTTCCTCATTATCTTCACTGCCATAACCAGAGCAGCTCCCAGGATTGCTTGGCGTTTTCCTTGAGACAAGCCCTGCTGATGGGTAGGAGTTTCGAGTCAGGTATTTACTCACTGGAGTCGCACAGGGGGCATTGGCTGCATCTTGGCACAAGGGAGCTTTGCAAACTGGGTTTCTGAAGTGCTGCCTCCCAGCAGAGGAGGAGGTTTGGTCTGCATTCCAAATCATCACACTTAAACCATCAGCAGCAAGAACAATAGGGCAGGCACACAATGATTTCCTCCGCTTTGTGTTACTTCCATCACTGGTATCTCCAAGGAATGCTTTCTAATTCAGTGAACTCACTCTTCAGTTAATCAAAGTCAACCAAGTTAATCAAATCAAGGAGGGCTGGGGTTTTTTGTTTCATTTTAGAAGCACTGCTTGACATGTGTATCCTATCTGTAAAGCCAAACTCTGGATAAAAGCACTGAATCGATTCAACAACTAATTCATCTTCTACCACACTTAAAACCAGGGACAGGTTTTGAGGGTGGTGAAAGACTGGCCCAGGTGGCCCAGAGAACTTATGGCTGCCCCATCTCTGGGAGTGTTCAAGGCCAGACTGGACAGGGTTTGGAGCAACCTGGTCTAGTGGAAGGCGTCCCTGCCCGTGGCAGGGGTCTGGAATGAGATGAACTTTAAAGTCCCTTCCAACCCAAACCACTCTGTGACTCTATTAAAAAAAAAATAAAAAAAATCCAACTTTTCTGAAACATCTGCTTGCTTTCTCTAAAAACAAAATTAATTTCACAGGATCAACGAGATGTCTTCCAAACCACGCCAGCTCAGCAGAGTTTCCTCATCCAGCAGGGCAGACAGTGCAGTGGGCTTTCTCCTTCCCTCAGTTCCTTAGGTTGGGAATTCTGCCTCCATAAAAAAAAAACCTGAAGTCTTCCAAACTCTTAGCGAGAACTCAGCAACGTGAGGACAACACAGCACCACAAGGATGTAAGCTGTGCCTACAGCCTTCCTGTTGCCCTCCCAGGATTAATCTCTGAGCTCTGTAAAAGAGTTAAATGGACAGAGCAGCGAAACAAATCGTGGCTTTGGCTCAGCCCTCCTGTTTCCAAGCCCTTCACGCCACTGTTTTCTTCGCTCTTGACATTCTGCCCAAAGAACTCGTCCTGCAAAGAACAGGGCGAACCAAACTACTCCAGGAATTGCAGTTATCACAGCAAACAGAGCTGCAGCCATGCTGTGAGATTCCAAAGTGACATGACAGGAGGTGCTTTATTCTGACCAAAGCTTCTGTTTACTTGGGTAACAGCGAAGGATAAGATGTATTAAGACACACAAAATGATCCCAGGAGGCACTGGTTTAAAACCACTGATGTTGACAGATGTTTTAAATATGGGCTTGAGGCATTGGACACTGGTCATTATAAATAACCTCTCAAATGTCTGGGTAGTGGCACTTTGCATATTCAAAATGAAAAAGGGCCTACAATGCTCATAGGAACTACAATGTTTGATATAAAACCCCATAGAAACTAACAGCAATTATCAAATGGAACATCATGTAATTCCTCTGACACACAATACTCACCAAGAGTCGTGAAATCCGAGCCAGACTTAAATAATGCTGAGGCAAGAAGCTGAAACTGCAGAAGAGGTGAAGGGAGAAAGAAAGAAAGAAAGAAAGAAAGAAAAAAGTGTTATTAACCACACAGGAAAAAAATCCAAAAGCTTCATAGAAGTCCAAGTGGCTTTAAAGTTGCTGTGTTTTCTCTGCACAGTGCTCAGAACTGCTGTGCCATACACATGAATAACTGCAGCAGGCACTTTCCCATGAGCAATACAACTTGTCACCTTGGCACAAGTCGGGTGGTTTTTCCTAGAATTAGAGCAGTGTTGATGCAATGAAAGGTACTTGACTGAGAGCTCTAAAAATCACTTTTTTTTTTTTTTCTTTTCATATAATTTTTTGCCTCTTTGGCAGGTACCACAGAGCAGAAGGAAGAGTCTATTCCACGCAGCAACATTCCCAGGGATTAACACGGTACAGGCTCAGCAGGCAGGGATTAGATAGCACAAAAACAGAGCAACTGCTGGAGTTGCCAGCATGAACTTCTCGAACACACAGAAAGCTCTGCCCAGAGAAGTTGTGGATGTTCCATCCCTGGAAGTGTTCATGGCCAGGTTGGATGGGGCCCTGAGCAACCTGATCTAGTGGGTGGCATCCCTACCCATGGCAGGGGGTTGGAACGGAATGGTCTTTAAGGTCCCTTCCAACACAAAACATTCCATCTTTCTAATGGTATCAACCTTCCTGAACTGCCTGAGAAGCTGGAATCACAATCTTAAGGCAGCATCTCTTTAATTAAAAATAAAACTTCTTTGGGAACATCGGAGTCACGAGTACAAACATTTTAAGTAACACATTCATGGTTTTATTCTCCCTTAATATCTCACTGACGGACGGTGACCAGCATCTTCCTCTGCCCCAGCTGCTGTTCTCAGTCACCCACAGAGTAGCAAAGCTTAGTGCTTTGTCATGTTCCTGTAAGGAATGAGCTGATTTCTTAAAGGTTTAGAATCTTGTGTCTCCTGCATGTCTTTTCAGCACACAGCGCAGAGGGGAAAAGAGGGGGGAAGAACCAGGATAAATACGTTCAGGGAAGGAGCGGAAAGAACAGCCAGGAATTAGAGATCCATAGGTTTCGTTTCAATTTCAAGAAAAAATGGCAACACAGACAATTTGAAGGCATGAAAGAGTGGAGAAGGTGATGAGTAGCAGCCAACGTGAGTTTGGCAACAACAAATTGAATCACATCAATCTGATTTCTTTTATGAGGCAGCAGGTCCTACGGATAGGACTTGGCAATGGACATCGTCCATTCTGACTTTCATAGGAATTCTGATGCTTTTATATGATATTTAAAGGCAAATTATCAGGCATTACCCAGATTTAACCAACAGGGAACGGCAAACAGGTCAAATAGCTTTTCTGTGGGTGGCCATCAGTGGTGTGACATGAAAATGGAGCCATGAATCAGGAGTGATTCATGTGTGCCCTGGGGTCAGCACCATCCTGGGTCTTCAGTCACAACCTGCTTGGCAGGACAGGGCAGGATCACCGAGCCCACAGGCCACACTCAGACAGACTGACAGCATGGAGCAGGCAGCCTTCCCACTGTTTTTCCACTAAATCCAGCTTAAAATGATGGATCAAGGCGCATTTCATAGGGCCAAGTGCAAATCAACACAAATCAGTGATACAAAAAAAGGTGCAGAGGCTCTGTGAAAATGCACTTAGGAGTTATCACAGATCAATGTCATCCTATTCTAAAACTGGCAAATGCATAGAAAGTGCACAAAGGAGGAGCAGGATCTTCAAATAAATCAAGTATTCCTTCTGTTATCAAGGCTTGTAAGTCTCCTCTACAATAAGGCACCCACTTTGGGGTGCCCTCTATCAATTAGCAACATAGGAGAGAAGCACTGAAAAAAAAAAAAATTTAGAGGTTTGAAACCCAATTTCTATGGAGAAAGTTCAAAGGAGTCATGGCTGCACAGCCCCCACAGAACAATGACCAGGGAGGAATCTGCCAAAAGTCACAAATGCAGAAAGCTGCTACAAGAAGTACATCTACAACTAAGTGCAAGAAGCCACAAAAATACATCAGTAAGATCTGTTTCAATGTGGCATCAAGGGCAAAAGCAATCTAAATTAAGGACTGTGGCGTGCTGGAGTGAGTTTGCATCTTTTGGAGAGGGTGTCCTGGGAAGGTATAAGAACAGGTCAGAAAGATATGGGATTGACAAACTCCAGAAGAGTGGGGAGAGGGTGATTAAGCTTCCTCTTGAGCGTGAGGCCTGGTCATCCCAAATCACGAGTGACTGCAACGCTCCACGTGTATTTCCCTGCAAGCTTAATTTCCCAGAGCTGCTTGGCTTCCAATCAGCAACGTCCTCAAACAGCTGCCCAGCAGAAATAGCTCCAAAAGTTCCAATAAAACCCGTGGCTAAATCCGTGCCGCTTCTGAGAGCAAATGCCGTGTCCTGGCCACCCTTCCCTCCCACACAGTTGCCTCAGGGACCTGCTGCCAAGGTGGATGCCACACGATTCCAGAGGTTCCCTCTCCTCCCACGGCAATGCCAGCAGCCCTCCCACTGGGAGCAGAAAGCCACACTCCAGGCTGGGGCTCAGGTGCCCAACTAAGAGACCACATAACCAGGATCCAGCTTGTAATTCGCTGAACCGAGACTAAAAACCCACTGAAAAGACCTTATGCCAAGTATTCCAGCCTGGAATGGATGCAGGCACCAGGCAGGATGGATTTTCATGGCTACGAGTTTCTTCCTCCATAAAGCTGGAAAGAAGTATCTTGTTTCCTTCTTCACTGATGACACTGCACTTCAGTTAACCTTGAGGGCTGTTGTTTGTTTGGCTTGAAATTAGGTTTATGTATCAGCTCGCATTTAAAAAGCACTCTCTGATAGATAAGTCAAGCACAAAAGTTAAGAACATCAGTTACAGGCAGTGCTAAGCCTAAATTGGTTCACTCTGCATTTGCATTATAATCCCAGTTTAACCCTATGATGTTCTCCCAAAGGATACCTTTTTTCCCAATGCATAGGATGGTTATGGATTACTCAAGACCACTCCCTCAGTTTTCTTATATTAATTGTTATTGTAATACACAGCACTTCAAAGTCTGATTAATTCTGGGTCCCCTCTTTGAAACTAACAGAATCTGATTTTTCAAAATAATGTTATGCAACAACTTCTGAAGTCACAGAAAAGCAAAGCCCTCAAGCAAATCACACCTGAGGTCTCTCCCATCAGGCACCAGAATGAAACACCCCATTAATGACCACCTAAAAAAACAATTTGCTTAACATCACATGGCAACTCTGTTACAGAGGCAAGACCAGAATTCAATTATCCAGCAGAAGCATCCAACTGCTTTAATCACACACCACCCATTTTCTTCTGTCAATCCCTCTGGCTTCATCCATTCCAAATTAAGCCTGCACTCAAAAGACAAGTTTCCTTTGTAATACAATTAACTTCTCCATGAGATCCATGTCACCTTCTGAACTGAGCAGGGGATCCTTAGAGAAAACTAGATCTGGTGAACTAAAATAAGGCTGTATTAGTGATTTCTATTTTTGTATGTCCGCTGCACACCTCTGCCTTGGCAGCACTGAAATGGTTAAGGGGGGAATGAGTAACTCCTGTTTGGGATAGCTGGCAGGTGGTTTGAATCAGACATAATTCCTCCTCCTCCTCCTCCTCCCCCTCCATAAGGTGAGCACTCAGATCACAGTGCAAACCAGCTCCAGTTCTCTGGGGCTGGTGACTCTCAGCACAAGCTCAAAGAGGCAATAAGAGGCTCAAACTCTTTGAGAACCGAGCCATCACTGAAATTGGGAAGGCTGAACACTGTTTTTCTAAAGGCTCCTTGGCTCCAAAGCCTCTGCTCCTGCAGCACTCAGGCTCTGAGGCTTTACAAAGAATCACAGCAGGACATGAAGAAGAGAAACAGGCTTTTCTTAGCTCCTTCCTAGAACTATTTTTCCCATTTGGGCTTGAATTTTCCCAGAAATATCAGTCTAATGCAGACTGAAACAATACTTTCGGAGCCCGCTGGCTTTATCTGTCAAATTTATTAAAGACTAGATTTTAAGAATGGAAAGTATGAAGCAGCCTTGAACAGGGGCCTCCAGCCTGGGTCTACAAGCAAGTCAGGCCTCAAATTGGCCTCCAGGTCCTTGCTCTTTCTCCTGCCATGCTCCAAGAAAAACATACTGCAAGTTTTCCTTGTGCTTTGTATCTGTTTTACAACAATCATGGGATTGAGCTTCGTCAGTCGCTGAATGTCCATGTACAAAGTCATCTTTTGCTCTCCTTTACTTGGAAAGCACTGGACGTTTTTTTGTATCATCCTGATTTCTAATGTAGCCCATTTAAGAGCAGCAAAGTTCTGGGTATGATTCCTGCAGTGTTCAAGGAACAACATTTTAGCTTGGTACATGATCTACTGATGTTTCTGTGCTTTAATAGAACCCGTTTTTCCTTAAGTACACAACTTGGAATTCAATTTGATGTTTATTTTGACCATCCTTTTCTCTTTAAAAGCCTACAGCTGTAAACTATCACCAAAATCTGCGTGAGAAAGAGAAGAACACCCATGCCACCAGAAATTTTGACACCAACAAATGACACTTTTATACAACTTTAATCTCTTAAATCACGAACAAAATTCCACTTGCTCTGGGGATCTACCCTCCTTTACATCCAGTGTCAGGGCTATTAACCCACAGTCAGTGAACAAGATTTACTGATCAGAGAACCCTGAACTGACTAAAGGGGTTTAGGTGATTTCAAGCAGAATCAGAGTGAAAGAGAACTGGATCTGCATTTGAGGGTAGAAGAGTTGCTGGCACACAGCCTGTGGCTACTAAAACAGGCACCCCTGCAATACTTGTTACTTGCAGGCATCTACTTCACTTCAGAATAATAAAAAAAAGTGAAATGAAAATATAATCCTATTAGCATCCCTAAAATTCACAGCAATGGAATGAAAATCTGGGGGTATGTTCCTACCATCAATCATTCATGCTACTTTAAACAGAATTGGTTACTAACGCCAAAGTAAGTTTCAAGAACAGTCTGTTTGTTTTCCTTGGCATCCAACTCCAAACAGCTGAACAGACTTGTCTAACTAAGTTAGAAGGAATTACTTCTATTACAAAGCAAGCAAACCACACCACAAGGGGAAACTCTGTTTGTAATGGTATATAACACCACCCACACCTCAGTCCAGAAAACATGAAGGTCTGGTCTCCAGGAGAACTATTGCACAGGGTTGGGGATAAAACTATTCAGCTTGGTCCTTTCTAAATTTAACAGATGCCCAAGGAAGAGGGGAAAACGGGCAGGAATTGCTTCCCTGAAGATCTGCCACGCTAAGAATCCTTACAGCCTGCCATGGCTGCAGCCAGCATGGAGCACGTCAATCACCTTTGATATTCACTAAGACAATCTCAACTGCAAATAAAGGCAGAGCATGGAGGTGTCTGGGCTGAGAGACACAAGCAAACTGGTGCTTGAAATTCGATATGGAATCCAAAAAGCCTGCGTCAGTCCTTTGGAAAGCACAAGAGAGCTGTTTGAAGATGCAACGCCAGAGCAAAAAGCCAACTCGATGTGATAACCGGAAGGTAAATTGACGTCAACTGGAAATACATCCAGTCAGTACCAGCCCAGCAACTGGCTCAGGGCCACAGCCCTGCCAGATCTGTTCCAGGGTAAAAAAGCTTTGGAAGTAAAACCTTTACGACCAGCACAATTAATAATAATAATAAAAAAAGAACAAAACCCAAACAACAACAACAACGAAGTGTCCCAAAAAAGCGTTAAATGATTTTTGGAGGTCACTGGAATGGAGGCTTTAATTCTGCTGAATGGTTTGTGTCGATCTGTGGGACCAGCACGACAGACAGAAGCTATTGGATTTTGTTTGGATCAGACATTAGGCCTGCAGAGAAAGGAATCCACAATATATTCACTCAGCTGGACTGAGCTATCTAAGCTCACATGCTGGATCATTGATGTCCAGAACACCAGTGTGCTCTCTGAAAACGGGTAAATCTTTTTCAAACATTTTATTCTGTTTCTACCTTGTAAGATAAAGCTGTTAGATTCCCCCCAAAATCTCCAAGGAGCCCATGCAGGCAGGTAAATTCTTCATTCTTACAAGTTGGACAGGTTGAACACTATGCACTGAACTGGGAGAGTGGAATGTAGAATATTAAAAGGCTTTCCTGTTAATGTGCAGCGTCCACTGCAGCTCCTTCAGTCTGTGGGTGACAAGAGGCAGCAGGAACGAGGAGAGCAGCTTGCTGATCACACCACGGAGGTTTTCTTTCAGGGAATAAAAAGGCCTAGCGAGCCATGAGATGTAAGATCTCTTCAGGAGCAACTGGCCAAAGAGAGACAGGCCAGCAGCAACACAAGAGTGACATGGAGAAAAAGGGAGATCAGAGAACACAGGACAGGATCTTACAGGAGTGGGAGGGAGCAGAAGGAGAGAAAAGAGCTTTAGAATGGGGATTTTGTACATTGTAGGTTAGTACAGGTTCAAACAGGAAGAAGAAACCTCAAATCCTGTGTCCAGTTCTGGGCCCCTCACAATAAGAAAGACATGGAGGGGCTGGAGCATGTCCAGAGAAGGGAACGGAGCTGGGAAAGAGTCTGGAGCACGAGTCTGATGAGCAGCAGCTGAGGGAGCTGGGGGGGCTCAGCCTGGAGAAAAGGAGGCTCAGGGGGGACCTTCTGGCTCCCTACAACTCCCTGACAGGATGGGGGAGCCAGGTGGGGGTTGGTCTCTTCTCTCAAATAAGGAGCACCAGGACAAGAGGAAATGGCCTCAAGTTAAGATTGGATATGAGGAAAAAGTTCATCAGAAGGGTTGTCAGGCACTGGCACAGCTGGTCAGGGCAGTGGTGAATTTAAAGGATGTGTAGATGTGGTACTTGGGGACATGGTTTAGTGGTGCCCTTAGCTAATGGTTCCGGGTTAATGGTTGGACTTGATCTTAGAGGGCTTTTCCAACTTAAAGGATTCCATGGAAGTGCTACTACGCTGGTACAAGACAGTGAAAAACTGGAGAAAAATATCTCTTTTCTACCTTAAGAACAGCACAATCATCTGTTGTCTTTCCTATGCTAGAAACGACTATAAAGTATGTGAAACAACCTGATAGGGGACAATTTAAATGAGAAGCCATCTAACAGAACATACAGACACATTGGATCAGATGTTTATAAAGGCTGACCAGAATTTCTGACAAATGTGACGAGTTCCAAGATCCTGATAAGGGTACACATTTTTGTCATAATTCTAACCCTAAACTCTACACTGTGCACACACAAGCAGCGTTTTCTCCCCCAAAAGCGTTCAGTGTCTGTATAATCTTTTCTTTATCTAAAATAGAAGGTTAAAACCACCAGATTAAAGTGATTTAATCCAGGGACTCAGCATGGAGTAGAAATGCCCATTTCTCCTATCACGATTTTACAAAAGAAGCTGTTGAATGACTTCCAAAGTCATTAAGGCAAGAAGACAGAAAGAACCATGGAGTTTTCCCCATCTCCCCCATGGGAGCTGAATGCTGGCACATCTTTCCATATGGAAATTAATGATGAAGTCAAATCAATCACTTTATCTGTCACTTCTCACTATTTCTTTAATCTGTTTGGTAAAGTGACACGTACTGTGGTGCTGGAATCAAAACAGGAAGTGGGAACAAATTCCTGGAATAAATAAAACAACATGCCTACTGGATAACATTCAAAAGGCAGAGGAAATAAGATTTTAAAGGTAGCAAGCAATGTATATATACAAATTATATTATATACAAAATACTGATCATCTCAGGAAAAACCTCTTTCCCCCTCCCAGGAGCTGCTGAATATTGACAAGCCAAAAGGCAGCATGAATAAGTTTCTCCTCATTTTCTACCACACAACCAACTGCAGACTTGTGACATTTCAGAGAGTTTACATTTCAATTAAAGCTCCCAAAATACACACCAGTATGCTGGAATTAAAACAAAGGCCTACTCTTCACCCTCAGGAGTACAAAAGCTATTTTATCTGGACCTGAAGTTAAATGACTGCTTCTAAACAGGGTGAACTTTAGTGGGGAGAAATATATGGTAAGGTGTTGGACACCTGCAGAGCTTTTGTAAACTGAATAAAAACAAGGTTTAAGAGGCTCAAAATTTCTACTGAGAACTGTTTAAATTTTTTTAAGACAAGGATTTGGTTGAGCCCTTACCTCTTTTGTCTCCTCGGGGTCCGAGTGATCCACAGTCACATACAGGTCATTCTGCAGGTACTTCAGTGCACTAAGAGGGTCAGTCTGAGCTTTTTCTTCAAACCTGAAGAGACAGAAAACTTGAGCACAGGCATTTCCTTCAGGACTAAGTACTACCAGTTCCACAAAGAGCAAAACCCATCTATCAAAACCAGCATTTCCAAAGTAAACCATGCTAGTGGCAGCTCAGCCTGTATATTTGCAGGAATACAGACTGAAACGTGGAGGAGGATTTTTTTGGGGGGTGTAAAGGAGTTACAAAAGCATCACCCTCTTACTAAAAATATTAAAAAAGCAGATGTACAGCAAGTTCTTAATGCACATATATCAAACACTTAGCCAAGTTTGTTTGGTTTGTAAGGTGTGAGTAGCACCTCATGTGAGCAGAACAGTTCAAACACAGGAAAGTTTTGAGCACTTGAGGGATATCAAGATCCCACCTCTGTGAAGAACACAGGTACCTAAAAATCCGGTTCACCACCACCCTTATTTCCTCGTTGTCTTTTAACAAACAGAAACGAACTTCTGTGACTTCCCTGAAAAGGTTAATAAAGCCCTGAGAAAATGATTCTGAGAGGAGTATCCTCAGCAAGCAGAGCTACACCCCTGCAGCACGGGTTGGGTGCATAAGCCTAGAAAGGATGAGGTTTAAAATTATCTTTCCCCTTCTATCAGCTATCCACCCAGTGCAGCATCACACTGTCATCTCACGTTGTTATTTTTTTTTTATTTGGGTTATTTACTTGGCTATTTATATCACGGTGGACACGTGTAGTTTAAATTTTGAAATTGGCTGAAGATGCAACTCCAGCCAAGCACCCATCACACCTCGGCTGGTCAGGCTTGGCTCCCTCACAGGGGACCCAAAAAATGGGAGCATGGTGCATAAACCCCAAATTTCTGCCAGACAATACACAGCAACACTTCCTTTGAGTGCCATTTAAGCAAGAAAAAAAAACCAAATAATCCAGAGCTGTCCCTGGAGGCTGCACAGCTGCATTTCCATACCACCACATCTGGGTTTAATAAGCCTCCCAGATAACCGGTCAAGGCCTTTATTTATTTTTGTAGGTATTCACCTCTACTGTGTGGCTGATCTTAAAAGGTCCCACCCAGCCACAATGGTTTTGAGTTGAGTGCAGAAATTTTCTTGCAGCCTCAGAGGTAAATGCCATCAGGAGAACCTGACCTCCCTGGCTCTTGGCTGCACCTGATAACAAAGTATTCTCCCCAGGAATGCAGGCAGAGCTATTTATTGGCTTCAAATAATTTGCTGGGTCTTGAAAGGCTGCTTTCTGCTGCAATTTCTTGACTAAGGCAACACCCTAAGCCTGATTTTGAAAAGCTGTTGCCCTAAATAGCAAATATAAGGCAGCTCTGAAGCATCCAGAGTGCAGGAAGCGTTGCTGTGTAGCTGAATTCTGCCTAAGTGAGCTCTTTCAGGAGCTTCTGAATGAGAAACTCTGATGACCTCACCACGGTTGAGTCTCAGATGTGCAAAGGCATCCAGCCCCCAGACTTCATTAGCATCCTTGTGAGCTGTTACTATCTCCTAGCACAGTGTTTCCAAAACATACTCCATTTCCCTGGGAGGTGACAGCACCAAAACACATGTTGATGAGCAGCAGAGTGAAAAGGGAGTCTAAAAATTCCCCGTGACTCCCCCCACACCACATTTTTCCAGTTTTAGAATAACACAGTCAAAGCAGAACAAAGTTAATTTTGTTGTTTAGTTCTGCAATGCCGCGCTTTATTAAAATAATTTTAAAAAAATAATCAAGAAACCTGCAGACCATCGTGGCACTGAATCATAGAATGGTTTGAGCTGGAAGGGACTTTGAAGATCATCTACTCCATCTAAATGACATTTCCAAAAATGACATTTCCCAAAATGGTGCAAGATACTCCAAGTTTCATCAACTTCAAAAAAAAAAAAGATACTTGGAAAAGAACATTACAAACCACCTTTGTGTCTATACCTGTGCTTTCTTATGAGGTATTTGCAGTGTCTTAACAGGTATTCCTTTGAAGGTCGACAGAGCTTCAGAGACCAGAAATCATCTAATCTCATCTTTGGAGAGCAGGATTTACCAGGATTGCCTCCAAATAAGTAATGAACCTAAAGAAATGAGAGGCAGATCAAAAAGTTGATTGTTTGTGTACATGAACTTAACAAGGACAAGTCACTATGTCAACAGCTTTGGAGAGGTTTATTCTTGAGGGAGAAATTCTGCCTTTTAGTCAAGTTGCTCCATCTTGTTATTAGCCTCATTTTGTCCCTTAGGAGATGAAGAAAGTTCTCTTAAACCACTTACATTTGAAGATAATAAAGAAGCTGCACTGTTAGAACCCACCTCTAGCAGATTCCTGAGATATTTATAAACAATCATCTCAAACCCATACACGCTCTTTCTTTAGGAACAACCTCTGAGCATGATGGACCCTTAAGCACCAACCAAGTGAGTGGGAAGTCCTAAAGATGCTCAAAGTAAAGTGACAGCAAGCCCAGAGCAGCATAATTCTGGGAGATGACCAAGGTCCCCACATGTGCCATCAATTCTGAAGAGCTTTAATTCAACCTATTTCTGAAATGCAAGACTAGACTTACAGAGAGAGGCAAATTTCCAGAAGGGTGGAAGTGTTGCAAAAAGGACTGTTTATTTCTTCACTGTATTTTTCTTCCCATCGTTTGGTAATTTCAGATTCTGAACTGTTGATATTAAACGTGCTACAAAGGATCTTCAAGTACTGAGGTTCAACAAGTCCAACAGGCTACCTTTCCCCACAGCTTTAAAAATAATCACTCAAAACAATGTATTCTGCATCCCACTGCTGTAGGCACTCCTTATTTATATCAGAGGAGTTTTAGAAAGGTCACTGGAACAGAGGTTTCTAAAAATAAAGACTCTTCAAAACAAGCACATCAAACAGCTCCTCAGATAAAGCTGGGCAACTGCAATGATTTAGCAACCTACAGAGTAACTTATAAAATACTACTCTCAGTCTCAGGGTACCTTGCATTTAGAAGTAAAGGCAGAGCAGTATTTACAGTCAACATTACAGTCTGTGAAGACAATGAGCCATGCAAGTTCTCCATATAGGATTTGCACCTATTCCTCATTCAAACCCTCTTTATCCCCAAAGTTTTGGGCTAGTTGGGTTTTCCAGATTTGACTGTCATCCCACAGAGCGCAAGACTAAAATGTATTTCTGTTCTTCAACTCAGGCTAAAAAGAACTTTCTAGAAAGAGTTTAACTGCAAAATATCTGTGAAAGGCTCAGTAAATTTCTCACAGTAATTTAAATTAATGGGTTATTCAATTTATGCACCTAATCTGTGGGTTTGTGCTTTACTGGTTAATATGCACAAAACCCTAATTTTACTGAGAAGTCAGGTACACTAAAACCAACTTTAAGTCTATTTAAGCATGAATGTGTCTGACAGTGCTAAACAATGACAGTTGCTTCTGATATACAGGGCAAAGTCAGGCACCTCTGGTAAAGAAGATGCTTAACTGGGATTAGTTCATCCCAATTTTTCCTAGAAATGTTGGTAACTGAGACCATTTAGTCACTAACAGATTGTGAGATTAAGCCCCTGAGGATAATGAAGCAAGATTCATGTGTTTTAAAGTGAGAACAGCTCTCGTGTCTGCTCTGCACTGACATAAAAAGCAGCTCAGCATTTCATTTCAAAATATGGTAAGTTAAATGGAAGTTACCCACCATATTAATCCAAACCTTAACACTGAACAAAAACCCTATATTCATTGTACCATCTTTGAAGAAACAGCTACATCTTAAAAGGAGCAGTTAAGACTAAAAAAGTCACGTATTTTATCTGGACCCTCATACCTTGTGCAACTCATCGTACACCAGCTGATGGGCAAACCTTGGGCAGGGCTCCTCCTCCTGAAGGCTTTTACCTGGATTCTCTTTTGCTGCTTGGTCATTCTTATAGACACATGACCTGAAATACAAGGCAGTAAATAACAGTTAGTAGGGCTCAGAGGAAGGAGGAAAGGTTGCTGAAAGGCTGTATACAAATGGTATATAACACCAAAGATTTTCCTATTTCTCTACATGTTGTCCTTTATTATCCCATCCCCATTCTCAGCCCTACAAAGAAACACATCCAACAATCAGAGGTCACTGTGACTGAACACAGTCCTCAAGCACAAGCCAAACAGGAAAAAAAAAATTCTAGAAAAGTATCTGTCATGAGCTTTGGGGGTATCTTTAGGTGTTACATTATCTGCCCACAGAATTGTCAGCATGAAGTATTTTTTTATTATGGAGAAAAACATCTTGGACCCAGAGCTTTAGACCATGGATTACACTAAAGCTGTAATCAATCAATCAATCACTGATTTCCAAAGCAGACTTAAGTTGTAACTGAAAATCCATTTTTAGAAAACAACATTCACACCTTTCAAAGTGATTGACCCCCCAGCATTAGAAGAGACCTTGAATACAAAGACTCTGCCAGCTCTGGAAACCAGAACACAGCAAACAGACCAGGATGTCTTTTTTCAGAATAGTGGATATACCATGGTCACTTCTCACCCACCATTCCCATACACTAGTTTCCTTAGTTTCTAATAACTGGCACCACGTACCAGTTATCAACTGTACCACTGTTATCAACTCACATGCCACTGAATTTGCTGCACTGATGATGAATCCTGGCCCTGAGCGCTTCCTACAGGAAAAGCCTTTTATAACAGCTCACTTCCCCTCGTCCCCTCCACCTGGCTCCAACAATTCACATGATTTCTCTCCCTCATTTGAGAAATTATTGCCATGGTGTCTTTATGGGAAAAAGAGGTGCCTCAGGGGAACTGAGTTGTCTTCAACATCATCGTTCCAGGGTCAACAGAGGTTACAACTCCTTGGGAGACGGGATTGCTTTCCAAAGAAAGTCAGTGTGGAAGTCAGAATTTATGACTTACCAGCTGTTCCTCACAATGTCATAAATCCAGAATGAATTCCTCACATTCTCTTCCCGCTTCTCCTTGTCTTTACTGAGCCCTGACAAGACATGGATTTCGTTCAGTTCCGGATCAATGGTGGCCCTTTGAGTGAAACCTGTCATTGGAACTAACAGAAGAAAATAAAAGTTACACACTGGAAACGATGGAGGACTCGGGGAGGGATCCAAGCATCAGGCAAATGCATTTCCCTCTCCCTGCAACTCAGCAGATTATCATCCAGAGGCTGAATCCTTTTCCCTGCTAAAGCCAAGTCCAATGCAAATTCTCTTCTTCCCTTCTTATCTATGACTCGTGGAAGAAAAAAAAAAAACCAAAACATTCTGTGAGCTGCTGTTCAGTAGAGGAAGATATGGACAGAGCCATTTGTGAGACTACCAGCTCAGAAATGAGGACTAAGCTGCCTGAACACAGAGCTAAATGACCAGATGACCCTTGCAAATATGAATGGAGTTATTCTGTTATTATCTCATCCATCAAAGGCCGCATTGATTCCAAAAAAGCTGAACTGCAAAAGCTGGGAAACTCCAAAAAATTCAAGATGAACTCATGACCACACAGCTCACGCCCCTGCACTGCTTCCTCCAGGACAAAGATGTCAATGCAGGTTTTTGTATTTTTACAAATAACTGTGGTGCAATTACCAAACTATTCTTCTGTTCCACCTTCGGATTTAGAGATATGGCGAAATCCTGCGGATTCCAACAGTTTTCATCATAATTCCCCGAAAAAAAGGTCAGCAAATTTGTTTGGCAGTCCTTTTTGTTTGTTGTATAATTCCCCATTTCCTGTTTCCCTAGGCAACCATCCTCCCAAAATGTATTTGGGAAGGGCACGTGATCTTTGTTTACAGATCCTGTTTGTCTCCTTTCTCTTTCTGGGTCAGTTGACAAAGGCTGGTGAAGGTTCCTGGCCTTCGGTCAAGATTTTGGCATGAAAAATTCTCAGAACTCTCCTATTTTGCAAATTCTTCCTTGCAATTAAACTGAACTGCACCCACGGCCTAGAAAACGAGCCCTATGCTAATAAACCGTTTAATATTGCTGTTTCAGGAGACACTAAATGGCATTTTGGAAGCCCATTCCATAACAGGTTTCGTTCTCATACTTCACTCTTTTCATTTGCTAGGCCAGGAAAGTAATAAACTAATTAAAAAATTCTTAGTAGAATTTGGTTCTCGGCAATTTAAGGCTCTCCTGAAGCATTTGGCCACACCACAAAACCCAAGTATTTCTTTAAAAAAAAAAAAAAAAAAAAAGGCTAATTCTTATGTAAATTATGTAAAAATTAAGAAATAGGAATATATATTCAGATAATTAATTCTCAGTGTCCCATTGACAAAATCCTTCCTCCTGGTTTCACAAACCTACCTAACTTGGCCTCAGATTCTGCAACAGAGTTTTAAAGGAAAATTATTCTGGTTTATAAGCAAATGGGTGGCAGAGAAATAAAAAAAAAAAAAAAAAATCAGGGAATAAGGCTGGCACAACAATGACTACACACCCTGTTTTACCTGCAAACTACAAAGACAATAATTGAATAATTATGTCCTTTTAATAAGAAATGAGGACTGAAAGTCAGCCCACACGGAAACTGAGAATAAAAAGACAATTATAGACTAAATACTGCCAATTTTTGAAAAGTATCATGTAATATGCTGCTTCCATAGTCAGGGACTAAAGTGCTGACCCAAAAGGATTCAATTCAAGGCCTATTTGAGACATTTCTGGCAGCAGAGCCATCTAAATTTGATCAGCAATGCTAATGGAGATGGAAATGTCTTTGCAACCCTATCTGCTGCTTTGAACATTTGAGACCATGCCGGGAATATTAGAAAAAAAACAAAACAAACCAAAAACCTTCAGAGCATTAATACCTCAGGCTCACTGAAGTGAAAATTATTATAATCATGAGGAAGACGGTCCCCTCTATTACCACTGATACCAAAAGCATCTGAAACTTGTCTGTGGAAGTCCCATCCCTCCTGAAATGTTGTTAAATAAATGAATGTTGTATCTCGTTTATGCTCCGTTTCCCGAAGCTGAAATTATTATTTAAATAATGAAGGAGGGAAAAGCTGCCAAAGTTCAGCGCTGCTGGTTTTTTTTCTCCCCCCTCTTGATGTTAAGAGCAGAATTCATCTGCAGCAACTGCAATCAAACCTCAATTCAAGTCAAGTAATTTCAGGCTTCCCTCGGTCTCTTCTTGACTGTTAGAAATGCAGAATGTCTAGAAAAATAGCAGAAATATAAAACCTTACAGTTACTAAGGGCCTAAGACAAGGAGCAACTTATATAAACCCTGTGACCTATCTAAGCAACTGTGTAGAAACCATATTTAAGCAGTGCCTTAGGCTGGAGAAAGTTGACATCAAGTCTTTTGCAGAGGAAGACAAAACCAGAAGGTTCCATGTCACAGGATTAAAAACCCCACAAGCCAACACAAATTTGGTAAACAAGTCCCTGAAAATAAATAGAAAAATAAGACAAGATACTACACAGTGATGCTGTGATGTTTTAAGCCCAACAGAAAAAGATGTTT